AATTTAAAAAAAAAACTTATGCAGGTGAAAGTCTAGGTGCTAAAAGACTTGGAATTTAATTTGTTGCTTTGATTTGGTTCACGAGAATCATTTGAAGATAATTAGATTATTGGGAAAATCGCATAAAATTCCTTGGAATTTAATTTGTTTGCTTTGATTTGGTTCACGAGAATCATTTGAAGGTAATGATTCTTTTTTTTATAAAAAAATATAGTGTTTTCTTGTTTTTTTATAAAACAAATAAAATTATTTATTCTTGAAATTATATTTATTTTATCTATTATTATTATATTAATTTTATTTAAATTTCATTTTTGTTTTATTTAAATTTTTTTGAATTTTCTTATTTTGGGATTTTTTTATAATTTCTTTTAAGTTTTTCTTATTTTTAATATTTTATTAATAAAATATTTTCATTATTTTTCAATTTTTTTAATGTTTATGATTTTTCTGAATTTTTTCTGATTTTTTTTCAATTTTTAAAGAATTTTTAATGATTTTTAATGAATTTTTATATTTTCTGTATTTTTATATTTATTTTTTCGTAATTTTTTTTAAAAAAAAAAAAAAAAAAAACCGACACGTCATTGCTTTTGAACAGTACCGGTCACATTTTTAACTTGATGTACAAGTAAGCCAGATTGGAGGTTTAATATGCTAAATTTGCCAACTTGAGTGTTTAAAGTGCTTGTAAAATACCCTCAGGGTTTAAAGTGTAAGTGGTTGCCATCTTGAAGGTTTTTTATGCGATTTTCCCTTTTTCTACTTTAACAGACAAATAAATAATTAATCACTTGAACAACAAAAGAAAATCTCTTATTACTGTATTTCCAAAAAGTCCAAACAATTAGCCGACCAAAAAAAGTCCAAACAATTAAATTATTTATGAGAACAGTCAATTAGTAAATATATTTGTGACTTTGTAAGCTTAGTATGTTTAATTTATTAGCTTACCTATAACCACCTAAGAGGAGAGTCGGCTTTGGAAGGAATTTAAAGAAACTTGTACTTCCGACCACCAAATATTATCATTTTAAACGACTACAATTAGATATAACGTTTGTAGTATCATAACAGTTTGGCTTGATGTTATAAGTGTTCCGGGTTACTGACTTCGGCCACATTTTTTATATTGGTTTCTAACCACACAATTATTAGGACTGACTCTACCTAAAACATTATTTTATTAAGCTCAGTTTTGAATATAAGGAGATATTTCGTCAGTTTATTATTATACCGGTGATCGAACTGCGCTATGTGCAAAATATTTTTTTATATTTTATATTAAAATTTTATTTTATCAAATGTAATCGTTAAAATACTAATTTAACTGTAAAAGTTGGTTTAGAGTTAACATTATAGTTATTTACTTGTGACAAGATTAAGTCATTGGATAAAATAGTTAAGAATGAAGATTTTTTTGAATTATATTTGAGATTTTTTAGTTATAATATATTGTTTAATTAAATATGATTATTAATAGTAAAGAATTTAAGCAGTGTAACTCTTACTAGATTTTGACCCGAGCTTTCAAAGCGTGAGTAATATACTGTTTAATTCTGAGTATCCGGATCCTCTAGTCAGGTTTGGATCGGGTTTTGTCGGGTCCATGTCTTTCGGATCTTAGAAATTTGGACCCATATAAGTATCTATAATTTTTCGGGTCGGTTCGGATATTTAGGACCCGAAAAGGATCCGAAGGACCCAAACTAGATCCCAAAACCCGAAAACTCTAAAAAAGCTCGAAGAACCGCAAAAAAATTCGAAATATTATCCAAAATCAGACCCAAAAAATCAAAAATATACCCAGAATTTTACCCCAATACCCGTATTATATTTTTTTTGAAATCTAAAAGTTTACCTAAAACCTAATATTATATTCGAAAATCCAAAATCTGAAACTTTAAAAAATACCTGAATTATCAAAAATATACCCAATCACCTAAATATACCTAATATATACCATAATTTGTGGATACTTAGAATACCCGATCGGGTTTCTAGTAGGACCTGGACGAACCGAGACATGCGGATCCAAACAAAAAATACCCAACAGATACTTTAGCAATGACCCGAACCCGGACCTGAATCTGTATTTTCGTGTCGGTTCTTGCTCGGGTCTGTGTCAAATACTCAGACCTACTTCTATTGATAAATTTGTAAACTTACAAATATATAATTTTTTGTATAGATTTGAAACTCATTTCGTTGTAAATAAATGTTAAATTTATTAGGCTTTTAATTGGCGATTTTCAGTTGGGCTTTTAATGGATGATTTTCATTAAAAATATAAGGAAGTGGAATGTTTTGTAATTTCCTTAAAAAATCAGGGGCAGATTCATAAGCAGTCATCTGCTTTAATAGTATAGATAGTCTGGCAGACATTGTCGTTGTAACTTTTGAGCCATTTTATCAAGGATTGTGATGATAGTAAAAAGTTATGGATTAATTAACATGGGGATGATATCTCCTAGGATTTCTTTAAGTAGAGATGTTAGAGAATGACTGATTTACATTTATTTTGAAAGATAGTTTTTGGAAAAGATTATTGGATTGTAGTGAAGGTGGCTAATCTTTTATATCCGTGTAAATGACACAAAACGTTTATGTTGAATTATATGTGTGTTAATGAAACTTTTTTTTTGAGAATGATAATTTAGTGGTAACGTTGTACCTTAGCATAGGCGGATTTTAGTTAATGCATCAAATATTTACTACAAAAACTGAGAAAAGTTTGCTCGTAATTGTTAATTTGAAACTTGAAAATATTAGTTTTGCTTGGAAAAAGTCAAACATACTATTATCATGGATCTCTGATTTATATGATTGTTTAATAAATATATTAACATAATCAAATTCATTAATTATGTTTTATTTTTAAAATTATACTGTATTTTTTAGTTTATGATGTAAATTTTTGTGTACTTTTCAATTTCTCCACACATTTAAATCATAAAAAATTATTAATAACATTTTATTTTTATTTTTAAAAATATATATATATATATATTTAAATTTAAAAATTATTAAAATTAGATATTTAAATGAGGTGGTATAAATGAAGATGATACGATATTTATTATTAAGTTCATCTATCGTCCAGAATTTTAAAATATTAAAAATATAAATATATCAGATAAAAAAATTAATTATTTTTATTTAATAAAAAATGTGTATGAAAATTTATTTATGATTATAAATATTTATAACTGATTTGTGTTAAAGACTTAATGTATTATAAAAACATTTACGAACAATTTAATGTAGTGTTAATATAATTAATCTAAATATAAAGATATAGAGGATTTCATAAGAGCTCCAAAGATGTGGTAGATTATATAATTTCAAAATTACGATGATTTTCATCCTTTCTATTTTTTAAATTTTAATAATTAAAAATGGAATAGTATGTAGTGGGGTTTGTTTTTTGACCTACAACATTAGTTGGATAAGTTAAGAGAATTTGAAATTCAATTATATAGTGTATATATGCAAACTAAGGTAATATATTATAGATACTTAGAAAAAAGATTATAGATACATAGTTATCAAAAAAAATCTTATAGGTACAAATACAATCCATGAAAAAACGAAGTATACTCATCCCAAATTATCAGTAACCGTACTTCAACGGTTGTGTTACTATATCCTGCCTTCTCAAATCGGCGAATAGGTGAGAAGAATTTGCCATTCCGAACTGATAGGTTTGTGAAGATTACAAGAATTTTGAAAAAATAAACGTGATGAACTGCACAAAATAGAAGTCACTTATTTATAAGTGTGGATCTACAAGCTTTTACGTTAGAACTGGGCGAGTAAAGCAACCAACACGGTCATATGTCTTCCAGAAGTTGAGTTCAACACTTGTGGAAGCTGGACAATGACAAACGGGAAAACCAATATAGCCACTATTCTCGCAGCATAGCTAGTCAAAACATCAATACTAGCACTAGAATCTTCAGATACAAAGGCAACACCAATCACAGTTATATAAGTCAAAGAAAAAAAATGAAAAAATCAATCCATAAGATATAAACACTTTCTCCTTACTTTATATGAAAGCATTTGGTGTCTTGATTATTTACAACAATAGTATAATGAATGTCACCCTTGCTAATCACTGTGCAAGTTCCCTAAATAATAGTGAGAAACATCAAACTAGAGCCAACGAATAAACCTATTCCTTCAGAAATTTAGTTTTGTGCAGTTGCTACATCTCTAGAAACTCCAAACATTTTAAACAATCACCAACAAACACATAGGACTTTAAAACCCATAGAGAGGAAAGCACAAATCTCAAACTATACAGAGAAAAATTATATTGATAGAGAAAAAAAATTATTGACTCGATGAATAAACAAAGATTCACTTTCAATCTCTCACAGATAAGAGACACATGTTATACATCAATGTATCATTTTTACTCACTATCTGATTCGGTGAACCAAACAACGATTCACTTTTTCAAAGTTCAGTAAAGAATCTACATTTTCATTACCCATAATAAGCCCAACGTGAGGGTGTGCTCACAGCACGGAAAGAAACAAACAATTGATGATTCAAGAGAAATGATCTCAGGAAAAACTTCACTTTCGACAGATAGATACATCGCTACGATGAACATGAGAAATCCACAAACCAAATTAAAAACATTTTACCCAGCGCCACAAACCCATAAGTATGTTCACATGCTTCCTCTTTATCTTCAATCGAGACTACTGTGTTGATAACAGATCCAGAGCCGAGACTTCCACCGTTGATTCCATCGAAGATAAAATTGATAGAAGATGAACATACGGCGATGAATCGAATGTTAACTAAAGTGAAGAAGAGAAAGAACAAAAGACCGTTAGAGGTCAAAAAGACAATGAAGATAAACCTTAGATATTAAAATTTTCATCCATCTTGAAGAAAATGTTGAAGATAAAAAATTTACTTTTTACTTAAATTTATTAGATTAATAATATTAATTAAAGCCCATATCATTTGTGCCCATATAATTTGTAAAGACAATTTTATAATTAGACCTAAAAAATATTCAACAAATGAGAGAAATAATAAATGTCATTTTTATCTCTATTGAGAAAAAAATCTCTACTTTATTATATAAGATAATTCTAGTATTTTAGTCACAAATGAAATATATACAGTGAAACATCTATAAATTAATAATGTTGGGATTAGAACAAAATTTTATTTTTTTTATTAATTTAGAGAGATATTAATTTATCGATATACTAATCGAACCAAAAACTCAATTTAGAACTATAATTATATTATTTTATAGAGATATTTAGTGTATATTAATTTATCGAGTATTAATTTATAGAGGTTCTACTGTATATATATATATATATATATTTTTTTTTACCACTTTACAGTTTATTATTTTCTTAGTTAAAATATTTATTTACCTTAAGCACATAAAATTAGAATACAACATCTGGATTAACTAAATGAATACAAAACCAATGAAAAAAATTTCCATAGCATATTACTGCTTAGTCAAATATATGCATGAGCGAATCCATATGTTGAATTTTTTTGGGTGCATAAAATATATTAATAAACTAATGGGTGAAATTATATATTATCCAATCTAGCTTTATTGATTTAAAAAGTCTTTAAATAGACAAACAACACGAAAAAACATTTTTCAAGAAAAAAAAAACAGTAATCTACGTGTTCTTTTAATTCTACGAAACTTGTTTTTTTTTTGTTTACAGTTTACATTGTTGAAATTTTTTATGATAGTGAAAATTGTTTAATTTCAGAATTAGTGGACATAACTATAAATTCAGTGGATTGGTCGATTTTCACGATAGAGATCAAAATGTTCTAGAGATTACATGAATATTATGAAGATGTAAGTTTGTTTCATATCCTTATGGAAAAATAGTCGAGCGAACGGATTAGCAAAAAAAAAAGCCAAAGACTATATATTTTCGCATATAGATCAAAGTTGGTTAGATGGAAGTGTTCCTTAGAGAATCCGCTCATCTGTTTATGACTTATTCTAATTTTTTTTTAACAATCACTTATTCTAGTTTATATGGACAACTAACAAAAAAAAAATTTCAAGAAAAACATATTCTTTTAAATTTCCTACTCTTACAAAACTTGATTTTTGTAAGATGTAAGTCTGTCTCATATCCTTATGGAAAATAGTCGAGCGAACGGATTAACAAAAAAACAAAAACCAAAAACTATACATTTTCGCATATAAATCAAAGTTGGTCAGATGAAAGTGTTCCTTAGAGAATCCGCTCATCAGATTATCACTTATTCTAGTTTATATGGACAACTAACAAAAAAAAAACATTTTTTTTCAAAAAAAAACATATTCTTTTAACTTTACTACTCCTACGAAACTTGATTTTTGTTTACAGTTTACATCGTTGAAATTTCTCCTGATAATGAAAATTGACTAATTTTTTTAATGTAAACATCATCTTCACTAATGAAGAACACACGGTTACAAAATACTATTTCTGAAATCTATAAAGTCTTCATACATTTCATGACCATATCAATACTTCATCTTCTGCATGAAGCGGTGACTAACTTCGTCGGATGTTTATAACCTCTATGAAATGATCATCATTATAGTCCTTTTTCGACAAAATCATCCTTT